GTCATGGTGCATGGGGTGTTTATTAGTATCCTTTAATGCTGCCTAGGCTCTTACTTACAGAATGAAATGTATATCCTGTATTTACCTGATAGTTCAGTTTTGCAAAAGGACTATAGAAATAGGTAAATAATATTTACAGATTAGGGGCAAAAGTGCATTTCCACCCCATTACGCTGATTTAAAATAAAACCTGATTCTTGACTTTGAACTTAACCCACTTTGTATCTATACACTTTTAACATACTGGAAAAAAAATGTAGTATCTTAACTGACAAATTACATTTGCAAAAAATACAACATATCAGATGCTTCCAGGAATACACATACAAGAAAGACATTTTAAATACAATCAGAAAATAGGAAAATAAGAACTCTTTCAAAAGCCACCTACAATTTCTTAGATCTTAAAATGCCTATAGATAGAACCCCATAAATATTAATTTTAAAAGTTTTGCACTGGATACATTGGCCAATATTTTGAAATGTGGTAAAGATATTTTCTTGCCTGTATATTTGTACTGACAGCTTAGGACCCTAAATTTCAAAATAATAGTGAGCATTTATATTTGCATGCTCTTTTCAATTCTTTTTAAATTTCTGACCAATATAAAATGATCATTCTTCTAAGAAAACAGTATTTAATCTGTACAAACTTTAGTTATTCCTCCCTTGCTACAACTGCAAATATTTATCAATAAAACTTATAACCAAAAACTTGGCTTCCCATCTGCCCTGTAACATCTTTAATAGTATCCTTGCAACACATGAGGTGTCTATAGATTGATATTATTGTTCCCAAATGCCAAGCTTTAATCATAAATTTGATTTCAAGTTACATGTCTGTGTCATGTGACTTTGGGCAAATATTATATGGAACCTCTCTGAGCCTGTTCCCTCATCTTCAAATAAGGAATAAAAGACTTTATTTACAGGATGGGCATGAGAATTAAATGAAATAAACATGGAAAGAATTAAGTGTTACATGTAACATTATTATCTTATCAGTGTTCTCCAGCTCAATAACTATTCCCACTTCAAGAATGTATGAATTAGATGCCTCCTGTATTCTTTAAAATCTGACTTCATTATTCATCCAAAAAATTAAAAATACAAACTGGGAGCCTGAGTGGCTCAGGCGGTTGTGTCCAACTATGGCTCAGGTCATGATCTCACGGTTCAGGAGTTTGAACCCCGCGTTGGGCTCTATGCTGACGGCTAGAGCCTGGAGCCTGCTTCAGATTCTGTGTCTCCTCTCTCTGTCCCTTCTCTGCTTGCGCGCTCTCTCTCTCTCAAAAATAAATAGACATTAAAAAAATTGTTAAAAAAAGAAGAAAAAATACAACCAAGCTTATCTTAAGATGGAGGACTATATGAATCTGTTACTGCTCTGTTCAATAACATGATTCACATTCACTGTTTTCAGTTCATGAACATCACACTGAATCTACCATCAAAAAGTCATTTCTTTCAATGACACACACAAACATAGATGTATGTATATAGAAGTGTGTATGTGTGTAATATTGTAGGTTAAAAATAAATTTTAAATAAGATAAATCATTTGAAAATTTTATTTCTAAAGGGAAAAACAGTACTCCCAAGGACAGGAAGAATATAAACATCATATAACTTGCCAAGTAAGTATGTGGAAGTAAAGCTAAAACTAAATTATGATAGATGGGCCATTAGAAAACATGGGTACTGTCATGGAATAGAAAGCATTCTAGTATGATTTTTAAACTACTTTTACCATGAAAATATGAAAATTAAAAAATGGTTGTATGTTTATAAAATTTTTCATTAAACCTTTATTTTAGAATAGTTTTAGATTCACCAAAAAATTGCAAAGATAGTACAGAGAAGTTCCATATACTGCACATTCATTGAGACATTTGTCACAACTCATGAAATATTGATGCATTAAGTCATGCTTATTCAGATTTCCTTAGCTTTTACCTAACATTTTCTGTCCAGGTTCTCATTCAAGATACCCATTTACTTATCATGTCTCCTTAAGTTCCTCTAAGCTCAAACATTTTTCGTTGTTGACCTTGACAGTACTGAAGAGTACTGGTCTAGTAGTTTGTAAAATGTCCCTTAACTGGAATCTGTCTGATGTTTTTCCCATGATTAGATAGGTGTTAGTTTTTGCAAGACCACAAAAGTAAAATGCCATATTACCATCATTATGATTTATCACTGTTAATATTGACCTTGATCATCCAGTTGAGGTAATGTGCATTAGGTTTCACTGCCATGAAACAATATTTAATAGGTTATATTAGAGGTAAATTCACTGGACATTAACACTGAGCTCAAAAAAAGTTCTGAGCAGATTCCTCAGCACTGCTATTAGGTTCCATAAAATGACTGCTAACAAATACTATGAACAAAATATAATAAACTGGAGAGTGAAATGGGAAAATGAAACTCCAAAACTGTTAGCTTGAACATTCACTTAATGGAGGTGAACGTGACTTTTTTCCCTTGAACTACCTTTACCTTATCCTCTACATCTTTGGGTAGTAAAGATTTTAGTTGAATCTTCATAAGAGGTAATTTAAATTAATAATCATTTTGCTGAGTGTTTTCCTGTATTGCCCTCAATTGAATAATGAACACTGATTATTGAAAGACTTGATTTTTTTCCTCCTTTGCTTTAACTGATTTGGCATACAGTTTCTCATATACAATTTTAGGATGCTTGGTAAATATAAAAAAAATTTCAATGTGTTTGGCTCTGTAAAATTTATCATATCAATTATGTGCAATTTTTTACTACCATGTTCATTGTACTTAATAATTTATATCCACATTTTGTACTCCACTAATATTTGTGGACCATGAAAAAGTTTTGACTGCGTGAATGCCACTTGAGATGCCATGCTTGGTTATTCTGCAATGTCAGAATAACTGTAGGAACTCATAAATTGAATAGGTGATCCAGATTATTTTCCTCCAATTTAAGTTGTTTTGGGTTTTTATTTCCCCGTCTTTGAATCTATTTTATCATTTTACCTATGTACAAATAATAGAGTTCCTGAAAATGCTAGACTCTTCAACATGTAATAATAGAATTTGAGCATGACAAATATGTAAGAAAATTCAAAAGTTTCAACCTTTTCTTTTTGAGTTTTCAAAGTAAATCAAACTACAGCTGTTTTCATTTGACTTTTATTGTGGAAACCTATGGATATTATTGTAAAATACATATGCATTACACTTTTTAAAAATGTTTTGAATTAATAAAGAATTCACCAATGTATCCTTAGACAAGTTACTGTTTGCTCATTGGTGTAACACTATAGGAGTAAAAGGTACATTTATTTATATTACCTAAATTGCTTATGCTTGTGAGGGAATATAATTATTTCTGGCTGGATTCTTTATAGTGTTCCCTAAGATTATCGCTTACATTTTTTTCACCTTTTATAAATAATAAAGTATATTCTTGAAGTGACTTGTTTCGAGAATTTGGCGGAGGGATTTAACACATTGAGTCCAAATGACTATCATGATTTGTGTTTTTTTTAAAAAATTAAAAGTTGAGTTTAGATTTGGGAAATAACTATTTCTAATAAAGATCTAAAAAACGACCTGATCAGTCCTGTTCCATACTCAGATCAGAATTAAAATAAAATGGGTTCCAACCACTATCTTAAAGAACACTTTTATAAAGTAGTGTGGCTTGAATACACCAAGTGAAACGTATAATTGAGATAATTAGTCGGAGTTTTTAAGTAGCAAAACCTATTTCTGGTCTGTATTCTTTGCAAAGACCTCTCATCCCTCCACTTCTCTCCGGAATGAACAGAGGCAATGCGGCCTCATTCTGCAAGAATTTCAGATTTAACCTCAGTAGTGTTCAGTAGACGACTTAAGAATGGCTTAACCTTGTCAAGGGCTCCTGTATTTACCATTTAATTTTTTTTTAATCAATTGCAAGCTTTTCCAGTATTTCAGCTCTCTCAACAGTGAAAAAGTTTAGTAGATCCTGCACAAAGCAAGTTAGGTATGGGAGTTCCCAGAGTGAGTCAGCCCTAGTATTCCTTAGGGCTGCCTTGATTATATTTATTCCCTCATATGCATCCCTCTGGTGGGTTGTGAAAAGGTCTTAGGAGAAACGCAAAGCATTATACATCAATAAACCTCAGTATCCCTGGCACCAATCCAATCCGCTATCTTAAGGTTTTTGAAGAGAGGTGGGACCAAGAAGGCTTTGCTGCGCTGTCGTTTATAGGTTCATAGAATCGCTCAATCTCTTTTAAAAGTAGCTAGAGATAACTAGGAGTGAGAATGGACCCGCAGGAGGCTCGGCTCGGGTGAGGAAGGAAGTCGTTCGAAAGCAAGTCAGTTACATGGCAGGGGACAGGAAAGCACGTTTGGAGAAATCACTCTCACTGGTTGCCTGTGAGCACACTAGTCCTGTTCTCATTACTACGAGCCCTTACCCACTGCCGAAAAGAGAAACATGAGCAGAAATTTAAAAAAAACAAGAGAAGCACACCCCCCCCCCCCATACGCATCCTACACACACACACACACCCCCACACGCATCCTACAGTTCACTCTTGGAGACGAAAGGCCAGGCTGGTACCGGAGAGGACTTCGTGGCTGTGCCCTCAACCCCGATAGCGGACTACACTGCCCTCCGCTGCGGTACTCGAAATCCTCGACGTCAGAAAACCGGGTGGCAACCTGCGTCATCCCCTTTCTGCCCAACACACCGCCCTGGTGCATCCGAGTCACTTCCGACGGCGCTTCTAAGGGAGGTCTCCGGGACTCCCTCCGATCACGCCACGCCCCCTTCCGGCCTCTGCGCGCGAGGCGGCGTTCAAATGCCTGCCGGGAAGTTCCCGCCGACGCCTTCGGAAGGCCCTTTAAAACCGGCGCGTGCGCCGGGCGGGTACGGTCAGTTCTCGCCGGGCTTCCAAACTCCGTGAGGTGTCGCGAGATTCGCAGTCCGAAACTTCCGGTGCTGCTGCTCCGCCTCTGGGGTTGCCGCTCAGCTATGCGGTCCCAGCTTCTGTTCAGGGCTGCTCGCTGCCTGTGGACGCGCCCGGCTCTTGGCCCGGCCCGCCGGCACCTAAACTGCGGCAGCCTGCCGCTGGAGGAGCTGTTCGCCCGCGGCGGGCCCCTGCGGACCTTCCTGGAGCGCCGGGCAGGGTCTGGAGCCCAGTCGCAGGTCGGGGGTTCTGAGCTGCTGGCGGTGGCCAAACGGCTGAGCGAGAAGGAGCAGGAGCTGCAGGAGACCGAGCCTTTGCTACACGGTGAGGGCCGGGCCCAGGGGAACGGGATTCAAAGTCGATTCTTGACTCTTCGTTTGTCTCGTCCCCTACGCCGCTGGTCGGGTGTCCACATGTCCCCGAGTTAGAAGTTGTTTACTGGGTTGCAACCCTTTTGGGCTTGGGTCGGAGGTCAAGGCATCATTGTGTGCGTTCTGACCTCATTCTCTTTGAGCCCCTGTGCTTCCTTGACAGAATGCCCCGCCCTCTTTTTACCAAATTTGAGTTTATAGATTGCCTACTTGCAGAAGATCTTTAGCTCACCAGGGACAAATAAGGGACTATCCCTGTTACGTGCTTGACAGTAGGGTTTTTCAGAAGGACCACCTGCGATAGTGTCGAGAGTTGCGTTCTAAAACTAGACTTTGGACTCAGAACCTGAGACCTAGAAATACGTGTTTTTAACAGGTTTCCCAAGTGAATAGTGTGCATTCGAATCTCGATGAGTCCTAAGTTTCTGCATTTCTGCGGACACCCCCCCCCCCCCCCCCCCCCCCCCCCCCCCCCCCCCATGGACCACACTTTGGTAAGCTTGACTCTGGAGAGGATGTATTCAAGGAGAGAAAATTCTACAGCTGAAGTGAGAACAGATAACTGAATGAACACCTAGGGAAAGCAAGGAGAACTTGTTGGGAAGGCCTTGCAATGATAAAGGTCCACGCTTAGAGGATATTAATAATAGTTTAACCTTTATTGTTTCTTGACCATACTTAGGCTTTGCTTAACTATTATGTATTAACTCACCCAATTCACATATGAAACTGTAAAGGAGGTACTGTGAGCCCCATGCCACACAAGAGGAACACGAGACATAGAGGTAAAATAACGGCTCTGGCTAAACAGCTTTTAAGGAATGGAGGTTGGACTGGACACTCCAAATCTCATGCTTTTAATCCCTGTACTCTGTTAACCAAGGAAGAAGAGAAGTTATGGGAGTGGCAAGTTGAAACATTTGGTAAGGGTCTGAAACACTAAAAAGGTTGATTTTTATCCTGTTAGCAGAAGGGAGCCAGCTGAACCTTTTAGATTGGGGAGTGAATGACAGAATGGCTTTCTTGCTTAGAAAGCTTGCTGTCTGGTAGTTTGGAAGTCAGCCTGAAATGAGATCGAAGATGCCATGGAAAACAGAAGACTGATGTAACAGTCTACGTGAGGCTTAAGGACAGTATGAATTAAGTGATTTAAGAGAAAAGGTAGATGCCCGGAGTGGGGGTGGAGGGGAATGATTAGTTAACTTTTCCTTATCCTGGGAAAAATACTTTGGGAGAAAAATGTTAGAAAATTGTTACTGGCAGAACACAACTCAGCTTAAAGATATACAATATCTGAGTTTTTCTTTTACGTCAGGTACTACAAATTACCCAGAAAGTATGGAACTAGTTTTTAGGAGCTTGTAGCCTAGTGAAGAAGTAAAAATATATGTGGACAAGTGCTTGTTTTAATTTCTGCAATAAAGAGCATTGTTATAAAGTGAAAAGTGGCATTTAAGTGGATTCTGAAGAGAATGCAGGAGGTTGCCAGACTGTACACGAGAAGGGGACTGAAGGCAGAGGGGACCAGCAAGGAGAACAAAGTACCAAATGCGAAGATAAAATGTAGCAGGAGCATAGAGTAGGTATGGGAGGTGACAATGTAACAGAAACATGCAACCAGAAACACAGTTCAGTACCTGCATGACAAAGAAACTGTATTAGCGCCTACAGACTGTGAGAGGTTAGCACATGTTTTTAAGCAAAGAAGTGACATTTAAAATATTTTTTCATGTTTTATTTTTGAGAGAGAGCATGAGTGGGAGAGGGGTAAAGAGAAAGGGAGACACAGGATCTGAGCAGGCTCCAGGCTCTGAGCTGTCAGCACAGAGCCTGATGTGGGACTCGAGCCCACGAACTATGAGATTATGACCCGAGCTGAAGTTAGACACTTATCCAACTGAGCTACTCAGGCACCCCGAGAATTGACATCTTCTTAAAGATTAATGTTGCTGTGTCAGTGTTTGAGGATGAGATGGAGTATTCCCCAGGGACCCTGATGGCTAAAAGGCCAGTGAAAAGGTTGATGAAACTGTGGGCCGCACTCACAAGACGTTCTAACAGTAGTCAGGATTTGGCGGCTTATGTCCTGAGAAGGGTGAAGATGAGAAAGAATTCTAACAAAAGTCTTAGGCTTCTGGCTTGAGAACATGAATGGTTCTGCTAACTAACATGAGAATATAAACGTTGGAAAATTTTAGGAAAAAAGATGTTTTGTGCTGAATAGGCAGCCATTTTAAGTCGGGAGTACCTGTAAGGACATTCTGTTAAAATTCAGATAAAGACAATGGTCTAGAGAAAATACTACTGGCATAGGAGAAAAACTGAGCCTGAATAATCGTATGAGAACTCTTAGCATATACTTGACAAAGTAAAGCTTGGAAGCCGATGAGAATACTGAGGAAGAATTGGTAGAGACAGAAACAAGACATTCACAAAGGCAGAAATACACAGTATTGGGGGAGCAGGCAGGATGAAGCTATAAAAGATCAAGAAACAAAAGGCAGAGCTTTGGAACCTTGAACAAGATAAATGAAGCTGGAAACACCAATTAAAATGTCAAGTAAGGATTGTCAATACCAGTCTTAGAAAGGGCTCACCTTTTCAGCTCACACTGAAATAAGACTTTAGATCTGGCAATTTTATCATGGGTGATTTTAATAAAAATGATGTCATTAACATCATGAAATCCAGTGTGACAACTAGAGAAGTAAATGAGAATTAACGAGAGAAATAATAAACCTTGCATTTAATCTCCAGGAGTTTGGGACAGAAAAGAGGGGGTGACAACAGATGTTTGTTCACTTGAAGGGTTAAGAGAACAAGAACCTTTACAATGGGGAAAACACAAGCATATTGGTAGGCAGAGGAGAAGGCAGACAGGCATGTGATAGGTGCCCAGTAAACATGTTGGTTAATAATAGTAAATGAGAAAGAACGTGTGTCTTTCCAGTGCCCTGCAACAACTCCTCATTCTAACCCTCCAGAGCTGTGCTGTCTGATAACAGTCGCCAGTGGCCACCCGTGGCTATTGAGCCCTGGTAATGTAGTTAGTGCAAACTGAGATGTGCTGTAACATAACACATTTCAAACACCTAATATCAAAAATAATTTTTGATATTTTAAAGCACATGTTGAAATGATAATGTTTTGCACATACTGGGTTAAATCAAATGTAGTATTACCTCAGGACTTTATTTCTCATCCTCTTCGCCTTAAAGAAGACTGCATTTCAGAACCGAAAGTCACCTTAGAGGTCATCTAGCCTCACTCCTTCATTGTTCTCGAGATAATGCAGACTCAGAAGTTGGATATGTTGTCCTGAGAGAATCTTAGTGGTTAAACTTGGACTAAAATTCATTTTTCCTTCTTCTAATTCAGCGCATCTGTCATTTCACCAAGTTTTTTCCATGCAAAATTCCTGCCAGAATAATTTCCTGCCTTTCCTACAACACTCTGCATAGTTGCTTATCTTACTGCTGCTGTTGCCATTTTCTTTCCTTGAATTAATGCTTCTTTCCTTTTTCTGCCCATCTCAAAAACAAGTGCAAAACCAATCTTTCAGTGTGCTACCATTTTATTTTTTTTTAAATGTTTTATTTATTTCTAGGAGAGAGAGAGACAGAGAGAGAGAGAGAGAGAGAGAGACAGCGTGAGCAGGGGAGGGTCAGAGAGAGAGGGAGTCACAGACTGAAACAGGCTCCAGGCTCTGAGCTGGCAGTCAGCACAGAGCCCGACGCGGGGCTCGAACCCACGAACCGCGAGATCATGACCTAAGCGAAAGTCGGACGCCCAACCGACTAAGCCACCCAGGCGCCCCTAGTGTGCTACCATTTTAATATTTAATCACAACGTATTTTAGGTTGTAATTTTGTGAGTTTTCTTCCCTAGGAAAATATAAAGAAACTAAAATTATCTAAAACCCTGCCTTGAGAGTAGGTCGTCCATATTATCTCCAATTCCTAGTATACCTGGTACTTGAATAAACAAACCTACAAACTGATACCGTGGAAGAGCCTTGATCTTTTAACAAAGAAAACTATTTGTAATAGCTAAAACAAGTTCCCTTCTCTCCTTTCTATAGGTTGTATGTTGTCCATAGGACAGAGAAATGAGAAATTATATTTTGTAAGGTAAAAATGAAAACTCAGACGAAATAGGAGTAATAAAGCGAGTTAGATGGGGAAGTACTTCATATAAACCTTCTTTAAACATTAGGGAGGATCTAAATGTTTGGTGGATATTTTATATTAATGAAATATTTGCTAAAGAGATACTAAGTAACATTCTATTTTTCATACAATTTTTAAATGTTTGTTTATTTTAGAGAGAGAGAGAGAGACAGAGCATGAGCGGGGGAGGGTCAGAGAGAGAGGGAGACACAGAATCTGAAGTAGGCTCTAGGCTCTGAGCTGTCAGCACAGAGCCTGACGTGGGGCTTGAACCCAAGAACTGTGAGATCATGACTCGAGCCAAAGTCAGATGCTTAAGTGACTGAGCCACCCAGGCGCCCCTCTATTTTTTAATTCTGTTGTGGTTTAACTGATGGAAACTTCTATTCCCTTCTGGTCTGACTACTCAGTGAATCCCTTGTTGTGCAGTCTAAGTTGAAAACTAAAACCATATTTGCTAATATGAGTATTTCATGGGGGCAGAATTATAGAATAGTTTATAGCTTCTTTATATTTTTCTGTAGATTCTTTTTAATCTTACTTATGCTTCTGTCATCAGGGAAAAAGTTTGTTGTTTTTTCTTTTAAGCTACATGCTAATGAAAACAAATGCATACAGTGCTACTTTTAATTAATGGCAGTTATTAAAAGGACAAGAAAGACATTTTTCCCTTCGGCTACAATAATAAAATGAAAACCTTGAATTCTGTTTAATATTAATTAAGGAAAACTTAACCTACTGCCTTATTTCCATAGATGAAAATGAAGACTTAAGAAAACTTGCAGAGAATGAAATAACTTCATGTCAAAAACAAATAACTCAGTTGAAGCATCAGGTATGGTATCTGCAAAGAATAAAGCATTTGTGCTATTACTTCTAGTGAATTTTATTGTAAGTTGATGAAAACAACTCAAGAACTAACTAGCTTGTTAGTATTTAGAATAATAAACTTTTCTAAAGCAGGAAAAAGCATACTCCATGTGGTGCTATTTTTATCATGATAAAAGGATCAGAGAGTTGTGGAAAGGCAACTGCCTTTCTGAATTTTCTGAAAAGCAGTGAGATAAATATGTTATTATATTTCCCCTCTTTTGGTTTTTTTAAAAGAGGTGAGGGATAGACGGTGAGTAGAAATGGTTACAGGGCAGTGGTAGATTGTGAGCTCCCTGGCAGCAGAAATATTTTATCTTTGTGTCTCTGGAGCTATGAGAGTGTCCGACATAACGTGGGCCCTAGGGCTTTTAGAACGGAATTGTACTGCTCTGGTTTTACATCTGGAGAATATATAGGCATTAGATGAAGACTAATCATTACTTTAAATTAGACCCACTCTGCTATAGATTCTGTAAAGCAGAGCTTAAAGATTTATAGTAGTTATCTCTGAGGGTGTAAGTAAAAGAACATGCTGTGGTGAGGAAGGAGCCCAGGAAAAGGGAGTGCTTAACTTAAAGATTCCATCTCTTCTCTAGTCAGAAGTGGAACACGTCAAAAGTTATGTCCTTACCACCCATTCCAGAGGGCAAGTTCCACTGTGAAGTGAAGTCTCATGTAACTTGCCTTCTTCCCATTTTCTGATATTGTTGTGAAATAGAAAGACATAGGTATTAAAGGTTTCTGTTCATTGATTAGTAGTTAACAAGCACATAAATTCAATCATTTACTCAAGATTTGAAAGATCATGTTGTACTGGCAGAGGCTAGAGAGATGGAAAAGTAGTAACTATCGCTCCCAAACAGCATAAAGTGTGATACTTCAAAGTGCAGGCAGATCTGGGTTCAAACTCTAGTTCTTCCCCTTTCTAGTTGTATGTTCTTAGGCAATTAGATTGTTCAACTAAACTAAGCTCAGTTAAACTTAGTTTCTACATTTTAATTAGAGCTGTAATACTATCTTCCCAAGATTGATTTAAGAATTAAAGTATATAAAGTGCTTAACAGAGTGCTTATCATATCCTAAGGGACCAGTAAATGTTGGTAGCTTTTCTTATTTAATTCACCTAACCAAAGAAGCTTTAATTCTGTATCCTCTTAATTAGTACATACTGAAGTGTGAAAGGTATATTGTAACAGAAAGAGGACTGATCTGGGCACCGAGATTCCTGAGTTCTCATGCCTGCTCTGCCAGTAGCTAACCTTTTTCCCTTTAGCAAGTCATTTAGTCTCTAGCAGCCTCATTTTCCTTTACATGTAAAAGGACCAGATCATACATCATCTCTAAGGGCCTTTTCAGTTCCAAAATTACAGATTTCTCTTCCAAATTAAAGAAGCTTAAAAAATATAAACACACGATTTGAGTTTGCTTTTTTTCTTTCCTGCCATACTAGAAAATCGAATTCAAAGGGGTAAGACTTAGAATCTTCTTTTGCATTCTCCACACAATATAGTGTCCTACTCACAACAAGCTCTGAGTTATTAACCAAATAGAGAACTGACATAAAGTTTTACAGGAACACCAAAAAGAAACAAAATAGACCCATAAATTTTACCTGGACCTTATTGCATTTATAATATAGTTGTAACATTAATATTTTTAGAAGTTATGCATTACTGTATATGGTTCTAATTGGCAAGATGGTTGAAGGGTAATCAGCAATATTGTTTGCTTAGAGAAACTTTAAATAATTAACTATTTAAAATCCTGCATCTAATCATTTAGTGGGCTTTTTTTAAGTTTTAAATAATTCCTAATTACAGGAGGGGTGATATTTTTGTATTTACAGATTATCTTACTTTTGGTTCCCTCAGAAGAAACAGATGAAAATGATTTGATCCTGGAGGTAACTGCAGGAGTTGGGGGTCAGGAGGCAATGTTGTTTACATCAGAGATGTTCGATATGTATCAGCAATATGCTGCATTTAAAAGATGGCATTTTGAAACCCTGGAATATTTTCCAAGTGAAATAGGTAAGTACACTGTTTAATTTGTTTTGGGGAAAGAACAGGTTTGCTTTATCCACATGTGTCCTAGAATGACATGCGGAGAGACCATGACTAAGCTTTAGAATTTATCGGTAAGGAAGCTTACCTGATTTTATGTTCATCATTCACCTAATAATTTTGAATGCAAATATACCTGTTTTGAGGAGGCCTATAAAATATTAGTCATTCATTCATTACTCACCATTGAATGATTGATGGTCTTTTAAAAGTGGTCTTTTAGACATGTTATTGAATCAAGTCACTAATATCATAAATGCTTTATGTTTAGTAGTTATTAGCAATAAAGGTGTTAAGTATTAAAACACTGCGTATCATAGACTTGCTAAAGTATTTCAGTGTTTTTACATTCTGTATGCTTACATTGTTTTGTAGCTCTTTTAAGTTTATTTCAAGATGGTGGAAATGATGATCAATTGTTTATAAGTGCCAAGAATAATGGTTTCTCAATATTTTAAAGGTGGCCTTAGACATGCATCTGCCAGCATTGGGGGTTCAGGAGCTTATAAGCACATGAAATTTGAAGGAGGCGTGCACAGAGTACAAAGAGTGCCAAAAACAGAGAAACAGGGTCGCATCCATACCAGCACCATGACTGTGGCAATCTTACCCCAACCAACTGAAGTAAGGCATCAGTCTCTTCTCCTTGGATTCCTGGGCCCAGCACAGTGCCTTGCCCCCAGAGTCACAACTCACTTCACTGAACTGAATATCTCCTTTTATCATTTGGCCTTTATCATGTATTTTGAGGGTTTTTTGAGAATCTCTTATCTTAGTCCAAAAAAATGTGATTTTACAATAGATGGTAGCAGTTAAAGATGTATAAATGATCTAATGTTGCACTATTTATTTTTGTCCACCAACTAAGTTTAGTTATCTTAAGACCGTCTTGGGCTGCCTGGCTTGCTCAGTCATTTGGGCGTCCGACTTCGGCTCAGGTCATCATCTGACGGTTCGTTGGTTTGAACCCCACGTCAGGCTCTATGCTGACAGCTACCTCAGAGCCTGGAGCCTACTTCAGATTGTGTCTCCCTCTCTCTCTGTTCCTCCCCCATTCATGCTCTGTCTCTCAAAAATAAATGTTAAAAAACTTAAAACTTTAGAAAAAAAGACCATCTCAGTAAGAGAAACAATATTACCCTACTTTAAGTAGGATTTAATACTAATTACCCTTCACAATGATTTTTGCTCTGACTTTCCCAGAATTTAATAGCAAGAATCCTATTTTAACAAAGGTTAACAGAATTGCTACTTCATAACCCAGTCACATTAAAATGCAAATATATTGGGTGCCTGAGTGGTGCAGTAAGCATCCAACTCTGGGTTTCGGCTCAGATCATGATCTCATGGTTCGTGGGTTCGAGCCCTGCGTCGGGCTCTGCGCTAACAGTGCAGAGCTTGCTTGGGATTCTCTCTCCTTTTTTCTCTGCCCCTCCTCTCTGCTCTCTCTCAAAATAAATACACAAACTTTAAAAAGATGGAAATATATTGTTACAGTGCTCATAATGAGTATACTTTATTCTCACAAGCAAATTCTCAGTCTGTATGATATTTGTAAAATAAATTAGTTGTTTTGCTTATATCCCTTCTGCTGAAAGTGATAGGAAATTTATGACTTGTTTTTTAGGATGAAGTATGATTTGATAGAAAGTTTAATTGAGGGTTTCTTTTAACTTTGGGGAAAGGTGCTAGTTGACTCTCTAATGAGTTCCTTTCTTTAGATCTAATATTTGTGTGAAGCCTAGATGAGGCACAGAACAGTTAAGGAAGGGTCTGATACTAGTTGCTTTGGTTTAAGCATCTTGGAGACAGAAATAGTAGCTCAGGAAAAGATGGACTGAAGTCCCTATGTGATGCTCCTAGCAGCCATACAGGGGAGCACACGGGGAGACACAGGGCCTGTGAATGGCAGGAAGCCTGCTATCAGGGTGTGGACGCGCTGCAGAGAGGTCCATAGTAGTTCACGAAGCAGAATTCTTTCAGTCTGGTGCTTCTGATGGTGACTTCCAGGACAGAGCATTATGCTGATGCCAGATCCCAGCTATGTAGGACTATCTGGCTTTTTTGCCTTGTGCTGTTTCCATCTGCCTGTCCTCTACCTCCAAATATGATGAAGTCCCCCTTTATTTAAAATTAAACAAAATAAGCTTTCTCATAATTCTTAAGCTAGCATTGGTTTTTTTTTCCCTGTGTTAGTCTTTTTAAATTCAGAAATAACCCACAAAAGCTCACTTTAGTTCCTATATTCACATTTCTAGCGTTAGCTAAGTTCTTTTGTTCATATATTAAGGAAAAGGGTAATTAACAGAGAAGTCCAGTTTTTGAGGATTAGGGAGGGTTTTTGTTTTGTATTATATTTTGATCTGCTACTTTTCCAAAAAAAGATAACTTTTTAAAAAAGCATCCTTCCCGGGCACCTGGGTGGCTTAGTCGGTTGAGCGTCTGACTTCGGCTCAGGTCATGATCTCACGGTTCGTGGGTTCAAGCCCCACGTCAGGCTCTGTGCTGACAGCCAGCTCAGAGCCTGGAGCCTGTCTTCGGATTCTGTGTCTCCTTCTCTCTCTGCCCCTCCCCTGTTCTCGCTGTCTCTCTCTCTCTCTCTCTCTCTCTCAGAAATAAATAAAAATAAATAAAACATTTTTAAAAAAGCATCCTTCCAACTTTTCTATTCTTAAAATTAAAACTTCTCAATCTTATAATTCTGTGACATGTAATTATATTTATAAATGGATAGTTCTTGCCTTTGGACAGTTCACATACATGTGATATTTTTAAATCCCAACTTTGTCTCTTCTGTATAGATCAATCTGGTGATTAACCCCAAAGATTTGAGAATCGATACTAAACGAGCCAGTGGAGCTGGAGGACAGCATGTAAATACCACAGACAGTGCTGTCCGGATAGTTCATCTTCCAACAGGTATGCCCTTATTTCTTCAACATAAAACTTTGAAGAAAGAAATCAAATTCTGAATAACCTGACTAATTTTCCACTATAATAGAAATACTTTCTTTAGATTAGAATCCTTAGATGAAACTGCAGGATAATTGCAAAAGCCAGGAAGACAGAGGGATCAAAGCCCAGAGAATTTCCGTACTGGTGATGATGAAAAGGTGTGGACAGTCTTGCAGGTAGCTTCTTCAACTTTATACTTGGTAAACATCACTATTAAAAGAAAATCCAAGGTGTCTGGCTGGCTCAATCAGTAGCGCACACGACTCTTGATTTCAGGGTTGTGTGTTCAAGCCCCATGTTGTTAAATACTTTTGTATTTAACACACCATGTTAAATAGGTGTGGAGCCTATTTTTAAATTTTTATTTTTAAAATTTAACTATTTTAACTAAAATCCTCAGAATGAAAAATGAAGTCATTATCATGGGTTCTTCTTTACCAGATAATGCTCAAAATCACTAGTTCCTAGCTTTCTTGAAGTGAGAAGGACATGGACTTTGAGAAATGAAAGCTTGGACTTGCCTTCTCCGAAACGTGCTCACATGCAGAGTTCTGCCCATAACTTCCAGGGCGGCTTCTCCATTGAGTCCATCCTCAGACCTCCAGCAGTTCTGTAGATAGGCAGCGGAGCTATCTCTAAATATTTCTTAAGTTTTCGATATACTATTAGGTGGAACTGAATGCGCTGTACAGTTATTACTGCAGTTGATTTACCTATGATAAAGAGCAGATGGATAGCAAGCTTCAGTTATCTAGGAAGAATACAAGAATCGTTTAACTGTGACTGATCTCAAATAGGCATAATTCGTATGGATCAGTAATGTTTAACAGGGTGATGGATTGATAGGTTTCTGTTTTTTAAAATTTGAGGAAGGCCTTAAGTTAAACTTTAAGATGATGTCTTATGTAATACATATTATGTAAACAGGAATAGGGAAAAAATGGATGAAAATCCTTACAAAAGTATTAATAGCGCCTATCTCAGGTAGTCGGACCAACTTTTTTATTTTTGTTTCTGTTATGAGAAATTATTACTTTAAAAAAATTATGGTGACTTGCTAAGGGTATGGGGAAACAATCCTTATTAAATGAGTAATGCTTTTTGTTTAGTATGTATGCCTTCAATATGAATTTGCACTGTAGCTCAAGCTTCAATTTTCAGTTTTCTGAGAACTCTATAAGAGTTATGTTTTGTTCAGTCTTCTTTTTTATTAGAGTTCTATTTTTTCTCCACATAAAGGAAGAAGAAAAAGAAGGAAAAAGTATTCCTTGATAAAATGAAGAAGATTTTTCTATTAAAACTCTTTAATTCTCATAACACTATTCAGGTGTTGTGTCTGAATGCCAACAAGAAAGATCTCAACTGAAAAATAGAGAGATGGCTATGAAAAAGCTACGTGCAAAACTGTACAGCATGCATCTAGAAGAAGAAACAAATAAAAGATACAGTGCTAGAAAGATTCAGGTAAAACTGAATTTAAAACATGCTCTGAGGGGTGCCTGGGTGGCTCAGTCTGTTGAACGTCTCACTCTTGATTTAGGCTCGGGTCATGATTCCAGGGTTTTGGGATTGAGCCCCGTGTCGGGCTCCACCCTGAGCATGGAGCCTGCCGGGGATTCTCTCTCCCTCTGTCCCTTCCCCACTTGTGCGCTCTCACTTGCTCTCTCTCTAAAATAAAAATAGTTTTTAAAATGCTGTGAAGAGAGGCACCTGGGTTGCTCAGTCAGTTAAGTGTCTGACTTCAGCTCAAGTCATGATCTCACAGTTCGTGAGTTCAGGCCCTGCATCAGGCTCTGTGCTGGTAGCTCAGAACGTGGAGCCTGCTTTGGATTCTGTGTCTCCCTCTCTCTCTGCTCCTCCCCCACTAATGCTCTGCCTCTCCTTCTCTCTCAAAAAAAAAATAAAAAAATTAATAAAAGAATACTTAAAAAAATGCCGTGAAGGATAAAATATTCTTAGATATCCCAGTTTTTAAATGTTAAAATTGTTTCAGTGTATTTGTTAAAATAAACAATTCAAGTAGTTCAACAGAGAGTTATATTTGTTTTATAGTAATCTTAAACCTCTGCCCTGGTTTCTATATTCAAGGGCTTGTTTTTCTCAGATTTTAAAAAATGTCTTACTGTTTATTTTGAGAGAGAGAGAATGGGGGAGGGGCAAAGAGAATCTGAAGCAGGATCCAGGCAGGGCTGGACGTGCCTCTTGAATTCATGAACCTCAAGATTATGAACTGAGCTGAACTCACATGCTTAAAAGACTGAGTCATCTACTCAGATGCCCCTGTTTTTCTCAGATTTTTAACCAAAGTTACTAAAAAAAGGAGTCCCCATTTTGAGTCCTATGAAAATCATGGAAGTTGGAAAGCAAATTGAACTTCCTTTTTTCCTGTTTGGTATTTAATTTTACAACCACCTTGCCCTTTATTAATTCCTCCTTCTGGGAATTCATCACTGTCATCACTGAAAATGACCAGATTAATTCACAGAGATTTTATATATATATATAAAAATTATTATATATATGTGTGTGTATATATATATATAAAATTTATCTACCATTTGAATACTAACTCTGTGCTAGTCTGTGTGTATATATCATCACTGTGTAGTAGGTATTATTTGTCTGTATTTTACGGATGGGGAAACTAAAGTTTAAAGTTGAAATAAATGTCTGAAGTCATAGAGCATTGAAACGGCAAAGAAGATCAAATGCTACAAATCTGTCTGACTTTATTAAAGCCTGTATTTTTTTTCTATTATGTTCCCATATTATTGGAGGATTCAAAGTGTTTAAAATTTGGTTCTTATATTGTGTTTCAAGTTATAAGTCAAGAGCTTAATCTCCAGGTAATTTAAATTTGTATGTTTAGTTGCCTTGAATCTAACTATCTCATGTCTTTATGTATAGGTTGGAACGAAAGGAAGGTCAGAGAAAATAAGAACATATAATTTTCCACAGAACCGGGTCACAGATCACAGAATAAACACGTCACTTCACGATCTGGAAACTTTTATGCAAGGGGAGTATCTACTGGATGAACTTGTACAGTCATTGAAGGACTATGCGGATTATGAATCTTTAATAGAAATTATTTCCAAAACTTAAATTGATTTATTATTAAAGATTTTTACAGCTTATGAAAATTCCACCATAGCAAATCATATATGTAAATATTGGTGTTTTCTTAAAAAACATGAGTTAACAACAGTTGGAAGTAATGGAAGGACATTTTGCTTTCCTCAGAGTTCACTGATTTAAATGTTAATTTCATCCAAAAACACTTTACAGAAACATGCAGGGTAATATGGATTAAGTATCTTGGCACCCTGTTGACACATGGTCCAAGAGCACCCCCGGCAGCTGTGCCCTAGATGAGAAAAAAGAGAAGCCTGTCCCTCCACCGTCCCCTCCTGATAAAGCATAACATGGTACCAAACAGTTCTGGCTGCAGTATCACGGAGGGGGCGATGAAGGGTAAATTTGTTGCTGAGACGCAACTATTTGGTAACTGGCACAAACACCGGTATGCATTACCTAGTTCTAGTAACTGCTATGTTTTCATATATTCTTGGTGTTAAAAGTTACAAATATTGTTACATTTCACCCTTACATATTTCCACTTGCACTGTTAAAAATAAGGACATTATTCTACTTAATAATTTATTATCACATGTAACAAAATTCACAGTAACTTCCTAATATCTTCAGATACCCAATTTAAATTCTCCCATTTCTCCCCCAAATGCCTTAAATTGGCTTCTTCAGACCAGGATCCAAGTAAGGATCCCATATGGAATCTGGTGGTTACACTGCTTAAGTCTAGAATAGCCCTGCCAACTGCTGCCCCTTTTTTCCATGACACTGCAATGAATTTTCATTTGAGAAATCAAGCTACTACAGTGTCATTTAACTTGTTCCTCAAATCAGTCAACTTTCCTACAAACTGGAAGTTGGAGCTTAAGACTCAGCTAGTTTTGCATTCTCCCTCCCTTTCCTCTGACTTAGCATTTTTGTCATTAAAATGTGTACTAAATAAGCCAAGTTTGAATGCTCTGATGTTCTGAGATGTATTTGATTCTCTGAAATACATTGACAGATGAGAAAAAGGACTTCACTCTTGTGAGAGAATTTATTGTTGAAAGTGAGCTTAAAGCTAACTCAGTATAATCGTTTCTTTTTAATGAGCACATGTGTATAAGCAGGGCAGCGGCAGAGAAATAGGGAAAGAGAAACAATCCCAAGTAGCCTGTGCGCTGTCAGCCTGAGTCTCGGGGCTCAATCTCAAGAACCACAAGATCATGACCTAAGCCGAAATCAAGAGTCCAGTGCTCAACCAAGTGAGCCACCCAGGTGCCCCTAAATCAGTAGAATCTTTATCAGTATTTTTTTCATCATAAGATTTAAAAGAAGTTCAGTGGCTCTTATTTTCCACAGGATGCCTGGTTATGATTAGCTCTTTTTTGAGAAGATGGACTCCAGAGAATTGGGGCCTAAAAGGGAAGGAAACTTGGGAATGTCTGCTTGAGGCTACACAGCTGTAAAACACAGCTTGGTGTTGAGGACAACAGCGAATAAAAAGTGCTTACTGTTTTTGATAAAGAAACAGGAGAGGCAGTCTGACTTCAGCTCAGGTCATGTTCTCCCATTTGTGGGTTCCAGCCCCACATCAGGCTCTGTGCTGACAGCTCAGAGCCTGGAATCCGCTTCAGATTCTGTATCTTTATCTGTTCATGCTCTGTCTCTCTTGGTCTCTCAAATATAAATCAATGTTAATTAAAAAAAAACAAACAAACAAGAGGGGTACCTGAGTGGCTCAGTCAGTTGAGCATCCAACTTCAGTTCAGGTTATGATCTTGCAGTTTGTGGGTTCAAGCCCTGTGTCGGACTATGAGCTAACAGTGCAGAGCCTGGAGCCTGCTTCATATTGTGTGTCTCCCTCTCTCTCTCCCCCTCCCCCTCTTGTGCTCTCTATGAAAAGGAAATAAACATTTAAAGAAACAACAGGAGACATCCCCATGGTTCTTCCATGGTGCATGTGCTCCTTACTGTAAGGAAGAGTAGTAAATAAACGTTTAACTACAAGGAGAGGAAGGGAGGGGAGGGGGGAGGAAAGAACTACAGGAAAGGTCAGTGACCCCATAAAGAAGAGAAAAAAGCTGGAAATGCTGACTCTAGTTTTTGAAAACATAAACTAAGGACTACAACTATGAGAAGAGCTCTATGTAGTAGATAATAAATGTTAAATTTATAGTAGTTACAACAAGGTAGGATTCCCAGAGAAATAAAATGACTTATTAAGGTTATATCACTAAACGGTTAAAGAATTAGAAGACATTCCATTAATTCCCTATATTTACATAAATTTAAAAGTATATTATTGTGAGGTAATGTGTCTCCTCCTTCTTAAGTCAACCTGTATTAATTAGCCAGACTTCCTTTGGAGCCCTAACTTGCAGTAACCTCAGAGTAATTTATTATCTCACCTTATTATTTTAAGAAATAGCAGGTTTACTATTTACTGAGAAAACTCAGTAAAGAGGTTAGAATTTTAAAACTGGCCAAAAGTGGGGCGCCTGGGTGGCTTAGTCGGTTAAGCGTCCGACTTTCGCTTAGGTCATGATCTCGCGGTTCATGGGTTCGAGCCCCGTGTCAGGCTCTGTGCTGACTGCCTGCTCAGAGCCTGGAGCCTATTTCGGAGTCTGTATCTCCCTCTCTCTCTGACCCTCCCCTGCTCACGCTGTCTCTCTCTCTCTCTCTCTCCTAGAAATAAATAAAAATATTTAAAATAAATAAAACTGGCCAAAAGTTATCAAATACGATCATGAGAGAATTTCAGTTTCTCTTGTAACGATCTGTTCATGAAGGACACTCTATCTTCACAAGAACATTTGATGAAAACAGCTTGCAGTGACCTATGCAATTCAAGAATATGCCAAGACTTGTTAATTAGACTATACGCAGTTCATGCGTAAGGCCCACGTAAGCTTTTGTCTCCTCGTTTGTTTCTTTCAGGTCTTTTAGGTTTCCTTTTTGAATCAAAGGGATATATTTATGTTACTGAATATTACAACGTATTGTTACTTAATTTCTCTTTACCTGTTCTAATAGGTCATAATTAGAAAAGTTGGAGTGAGATTGTGAAGGATCTTGAATATTGAATTTCATTCTTCAAACCAAGGAAGCATATAGTACATCTATATCCATATCCAGCATCATTTCATTTTATTCACTACCACCCTTACGGCCCATTTTATTCACTGCCACCCTTATGTCACATAAAATTCATTTTTTTTTTCTGATAATTGCACTTGCACTTCAGCTTTCTCCCCATGTTCTTTATGCCATGCCACCGTCCTCCCCAGTCCTTCAAGACATTCCCAGCAGCAAGTAGTTTTCATCTAGAGGTAGCCTGCCTGCCCATACGGGACATTTGGCAGTTTGGTGACAGCAAGAGTTGGAGGTTAAGGATGCTGTTAAACTCCGTACAGTGCACAGGACAGCCCCCCACAACAACTAATTATCTGGCCCAAAATGTAAAGTGTTGAGGATGAGAAATCTTATCTAACAAATTATTCCCTTATCCTGCCATATAAAAGTAACTCCTCTGTTCTCTAAAAATTCCCAGTGTGACCAGATGTATTTGATTTACCCAGTGTTGCATTATAGCTACGTCTTATACACTTTGTCTCCTTCTCTCTATCTATACTCACGATGCTTTTATTCAAAGATCATTTACTGAGCATCTGTTATGTCTACTAGGTGGCAGGCCCAGTTAGGAAGCACAGGGCAAGTACCATGTCCCAGTTATTTCCACATACTCCCTATGTCTTGCATGCTGTAGGTTTGCAGTCGGAATTTGCTGAGGGACAGCTGGGTGGCCAGTTGGTTAAGCATCCAACTTCAGCTCAGGTCATGATCTCATAGTTCTTGAGTTCCAGCCCCACATTGGGCTCTGTGCTGGCAGTGTGTAGTAGCCTCTTGGGATTCTCTCTGCCCCTCCCCCATGTGTGTACCTGTTCACTCTCTCTTTCTCTCTAAATAATTAATGAATTAAAAAGGATTTGCTAGAAGAGGGCAACTCTTGCTTCGTTTTGCACCTAAAAACTCAACAGGAAGAGGTACATAACACCTGTTGATATCTAGTAAAATTCAAAATGGCCCTTCCTAAGTTTCTGACTCAAAGTGAAATTAACAGGTGCTCATGAGTCTGCTAAACAAGTTATTTGTCAGTGAAAAGTATTTCAAAATAATATTTCAGTAATCTAACATTTAAAATCAACATTAAATAAGAGACTGAAACTTTGATAAACTATTCCAGTGTGCAATAAAATATGCTCAGCTATGTATATTGCCTTATATTGCTGCAGTAATTTTAACTTTTCCAATAATAGATCTTAGCCTTTTCCTGAAAAAAGAAATAATCGCTGGAGAACACCTTTTAAACAGTGGTTAAGATCCAATACAGTCCAGGTGCTCAATTTAATGAAACCCTTCCTACCCTCAAATTTCATATATTTGTCTACATCTGAAAATAAAAGAGGAATAAAGATCTTGACGGTCAAATGGGGAAGTAATGTGAAAATGAACTACAAACAATCAGGCCTACAGCAAAGGAGTAAAGTACAAGGACTTATCCAGCCGAATGGGATTTGAAAGGGCATCTGGGTGGCTCAGTTGGTTGAGGGTCCAACTTCGGCTCCATTCATGATCTCAGGTTGTGAGTTCAAGCTCCACATCGGGCTAGCTGTTGTCAGCCAAGAGCCCCCTTCTGATCCACTGCCTTCCTCTCCTTACCCCTACTCCACTTGTGCTCTCTCAAAAATAAGGATAAAAAAAAAAAAAGAACAGGATTGGGAACTTTTGCTTATGAGATGTGTAGTTCTGTGAGAATTAACTTTCACACACAATAAGAAGAAATTTAATGCCAAGGTTATTGTGAGAATTAAAGGCTAATAGTTACAAAATGCCTATAAGACAAAAAACTACTATAGTTTTAACATCCATTCAACAAATCACTCCCTCGCTGAAATCCCTCCAATAACTACCACTGCAGTAGAAAGAAACTCCAAACCCAACATGTAAACCTACAAAATCAAACAGGATGTGGCTGCCACCTCTCCGACCTAATCTGTAGCACTCGCTCAGAGCGCTCTAGACGTCTTTATAGCCCTGGAACAAGCCAAGCACTTCCGGTCTCCGCCCTCCGTTTACTAAGCCAGGTACCTTTGCACTCAACAGGCAGATCTTGGTCCAAAGCCTCCCACACCCTCTGGACCACCCAAAGTCAGTAACCAATGCGCCTACCGCCCACTCTCTACCCAAAAACCTAGTTTTATATTGCTCTTCCCTGAACTAAAATCGTTTACTGTCAGTTTCTGTCCCACTGGTATGAAAACTCCTCGAAAGACGGGGTTTTTGTCTTTTCAACCCTGTATCTCCAAGACCTAGCTCGAAGACCGGGCTAAGCGGGACACATCACCCAGATGCAAAAGCTAAGGGGACGCCCAAATTTCAGTAATCCAGAAAAATCTGAAATGAAAGTAACATTCTCAAAGAGGAAAGGTAATGCAAAACACCGCGATCAACTATCAAAATCATGCAGAACGACGGGACCCACCCGGCACGTGCACAACTCCTCCCCATCCCCGCCCTCACTAGGACTCGCCACCAACATAATTGCGCAATTACCGGAAGTCAGGCGTTAACTCTCCCCCAAGGCGGCAGCAAAAGGGAGACAGGGAGAACCCAAAAGAACCAGGAGACAAGGGATCCGACTTTTTGGAGTTCACACCCGGTAGCTTCCCTGCGCGGTGGCCAGAAGGCTGACTGCAAGGAGTGCACGGTCACCAGTTAAGCTCACACTCGGGCTGAAAAGTTCAGCAGGGCTAATACTATGGTGCCGGTGGTAAACGAAGGCTTAATAAATACTTCGACCCATTCCTGACATCACTGGAAAATCAGTCCCTTGGCCTGAGGACCCCAGCCCTATAGAGTGTGGGAACTGGAGCTCCCACGGCAGGACGTTTTATAAACGTATTTATTTGGGGGCAGGACTGCTGTCTCTCGCGTTTGGCCCCTGAGGGAAATAAACCCGGGAAAGCACACATACAAGTCTAATAAACTTAACCTCCGTACAAAGCAGCGGTGGCTGGAGAACTGTGGTTGAAAATACAAATAAATACGCTTACAAGAAGTGACTGTCCCACCGCGGGAAGGCCGCCGGGACGCGCAGCCCCAGGTCTTCAGCCAGGGCAGCTGCGAGACCGGCGGCGGGCGCCCGGAAGCACACGCAACCACCCAGCCAGACGCACACCAGCGCCTGAGAGAAAGGCTGGGACCCCCAGCGCGCACGCGCCGACCCGCCAAGTCCGCAGCCACCGCCTGCCAAAGGCGCCTGCGCACACGCCGAGGGCAGAGGGAGGGGCGAAACTGAGAGGGAGAGCGGAGCGCGCCCAAATCAGAGAGAGGCGGGCTAAGTGGCTACGGAGCGCTGGGGGCAGGGCTTGTCTTCCGGAAAGGCTGGATTCCCGGACGACCGGAGTCGCCGCTCACCAAACACCCGCTTGTGTGCTGATCGAAGAAAGTCGGCTACGCTTTATAACCACTGGCAATCTTCAGACAGAAGCCGGAGCTGCCTTCAGGATGAAGTTAGGACTTGGAGAAGACGGGCTCGCAAGTCGGAGGGAAGGTTGGCGGGTGCGCGCATGCGTGCTGGGCTACCTCCACGTGCGGCTGGGCCGTGGCCTCCCCGCGCTCAGAGGCCCCGCCTCCAGGCCCTTCCCCTGCCGCAGCATCTTTCCGGACGCGCGGAGCCGGCTAGAAGAAGGGAGGTTGGGCCTCGCAGCTCGGCCCCGCCTCCACCGCCTCTAATTGGGCGTGGGTGAGGACGCCCCCTCCTACTGCCTTCCTATTGGAGCGCGCGTGCGAGCTACGCACCCCATTGGGCCGTACGGATTTGGGCACCAAATTCAAAGATTTTAAAAGTACCAGCTGGCGCCTTTTAGGAGATACAGCTCCGTGAAGCGGACGGCCGGATCTTCTAGTGTGGCAGCTGTTCCCTCACCTGAGGCAGAGCCCCCCACCCCCACTTTCACTGGCATGAGCCAGCGCCCCTGCCGCTGCTCTCCACGGCCCCCCTCCAGCTCCTGCCGCTGCAGCTGCAGCGACCTGACAGCCGCCGGCCGCCCTCGGCCCTCAGACAGTGAGTGAGGAGAGGGTGCGGGAGCACGCGTTCCTGGAAGGGTCTGCGGGGTTGGGGGGCGGCTGCGACCGAATCCGACAGCCTCCCGAGGCCGGGCGTGCGCCTCAGGCCGGGCCGGGCGGGCGGGCGGCGGCGGCGATTCCTGCGGCCCCGGGGAAACAAGGCCGGGGCTTGGGGAGGGGAGGCCAAATGTGCCGAGGCGGGTGGCGGGCCCGGGTCCCGCCTTCCCGGACGCCGGCCCCGGGGGAGGTGAAGGTCCCGGCCTCCCTGGGCGTCCCTTCTCCCCTTGCGGGCTCTACGTCTCCCGGTCCCCACCCGGCTGGAAGAGGCGCCAAATGCCCCTCCCCTCCCCCACCCCGGGGCCCAGGCTCTGACAGGGATCGCGAACCGGCCCAACCCCCCCCCACCCCGGGCTCCGGCCGGGCGCCTGAGCCCCACTTCCTGCGCCCCCTCTCCGTGTCCGCCCCGCATCCTCGGGGCCGCAGGGCAGCGCCCCGGGTTTGCCCGCCTCGCTGGTGGCGGCGGGCGCGGGAGATGCCGCTGGCTTATCTCCCGCCGCCACCCGGCCCGCGCCCTGAGGGTCCACCTCCCGACCCCGCAGGATTTGCATGGTCTCTCCTCCCCCCCACCCCGCACACTCCCGCCAAACGGAGGGTCCCCCTCCCTGGGCCGAGCTCTCCTGGGACGTCCACACAAAACTTTTTTTGTCTTCGTTCTCCCATTTCCCCAGGAGCTCGTTCTCAAAGCCTGGCTGGGATCATGGGGGGCGGGCGGGGTGGGGGGGGGGACCCTTTTTAATCCAGAACCGTGAATTTGCCCTCCTGTACCTGATGGCCTGAGAAACGCAGAACTGGCCATTTTCTTACTGTGCTCCCGAAGCCCTAGATAGGGCTTTATTCCAAAACTCGGATGCAGTGGAAGGCACCCCAACGGTCATCTTTACCCTCTTTGTTGCTCTCTGGAAAGAGATCCAAATGCATTTATTTTGCCTCAGAAATTACCAAAAAAAGTATTTTTTAACTAGTTCCATTTTTGCGGGATTAGGCAATCTCTGAAAGATGACGAAGACTGGAAGGAAAAAGAACACCTAGCTTTAACAGGTCTCTTTCTAGAAGATCCTCCAGCCTAAGGCACCCCGTGAACTTCTGAGGCTTGATGGCTTTAAGAAGTGTTTTTTGTATTACTGAATTCCAGTTTGTCTGGGATTACCATTTTGCTCCTCAGAATATTTGCTATCTCCTGTTTACAAATTTGAGAAAATGAGATTAAGTATCTGTCGCATCCAAGTAGTTTCGAAGGCAGGTTTTTCTAAAAATTTTCTCTTAGAGATTATGGCTGACTTGTTGTCTGTGGCTGCAAGCCTTGGGGGTCTCAGATTCTTAAGGAGTAGCCATGGTTAACATTGGGCACATGGTGATTATTTTCTAGGTATTGGCGATTGTAGAACTTAATCATTTAACATTGGGGTAGCTGTAAAAATATTTAAGCATTGTAGTCTATTTACGGTATTTCAGTTTGGAGTGTCACTTCTGCCTTGGAAAGTTAAATGGAAGATCAAACTTTGAACAATTAACTGCAATACTGCCTTTTCATGACTGGACAGTGATGAGTAAGTGATGTTTAAAAAATGCAGTAGATTGAATCTTCAACAACATGAGGCAGATTATTAGTACCTCCATTTTAGAAAAAAATGAAAGGAAATGTCACAAATCTAGCCAAAAGGCTGAGCAAGTATTTTTACTTGAAGATGGAGCTGATTCCTCGGAAGAGTGATATAATCTGTAATACATAATGTGGAATATATTTTGCTACTTTTAAAACATTTATGATTTGCAATAAAAGAATTACAAAGGGATTTGTTTTAAAAATGTGATATGAATACCGTGTGTGATGGGACTCTGCCATACATTTAGTCTAGTTTTAAGTTCTTAACCCCATTTTGTAGATGGGAAAACAGAGGCTTTAAACGTTAACTGCCTCAGTTTTCCCTGGATTCAGCAAATGACACTTTATAGCTTAGATGCTCAGGACTTAAACTCCAGGGTTTGGTTTTTGGTTTAGTTTTTGTTTTTTTACTCCACTTGGTCTTCATTCACATCCAAAGCATGAGCAATTTCTGTTGACTTTATTCTCCTATATACATCTCCCATCCACCCAATTATCTGCATTTCCACTGCAGTCATCCTAGTATCAGTTACCCAAACTGCCTGGACTCCTGTGATCTGCACTTCTGACTAGCCTTCCTCTTTCCACTTGTACCTTCTACAGTCCATTCTCTACAGCTGCCAATGATCTTTTTAAAATGTAAACCAGGTACCTGAACTCAACCCCTCAGTGCTCTTTATTACACAATGAATAAAATCCAGTCTACCCTAAAATTTCTACAGGCCATTCTACTCTACAACCTTAAGGTATATTACATAATTTTACATTTTAAAACTAAATCTACAACCAGCATTTTGGAACCAATAAAAGGAACTAGAGTTCCTTGGAGAAACAAGTGATTCTATGGCTGGAACAGGGAAAATAGAAGGTGAGCCTGGAACATCTTGTCATGCCAGAAAGTAAGAAATACTCCAAAAACAAAATAATGGAAGTATTTCAAGTGGATGTAAACTTACACAGTGATGAAAGCTGAAACCATTTGAGCAACAACATAATGTAGTATTGGATTATAACCCCAAACTCTACGAGCCTATATGTATACTTTTTTATATATATACTTTTGCCTCACTTTCCAGGATAAAGTAATGGAATGAACACCAATACAGTCAAGAAGGGTAATCTATCTCTCTTAACTACCTGTGAAATTGTGGGCGAGCTACTTAGCTGAACTTCAAGGTCCCAGCCTTCCTGGACCCCCCACCCACTTCTTTGTAAAAATAAATGAATAAATTTATAATAAACTCTTCACCCTACATCAGAAGGTTGTGAGGACTGAGTGAAATTGTAAACTTATAAATAACTATAAGATGTTTGGAGGTACCTGGGTGGCTCAGTCAGTTGAACTTCCGACTTCAGCTCAGATCATGATCTCATGGTTCCTGAGTTCAAGTCCCACATCCAGCTTTGCGCTGACAGAACAGAGCCTGCTTCTGATTCTGTTTCCCTCCTCCGTCTCTCTGCCCCTTCCCCACTTGTGCTCTCTCAAAAGTAAATAAGCATTTAAAAACAATTTTGGGGTGCTGGGGTGGCTCAATCAGTTGAGCATCTGGCTCTTGGTTTTGGCTCAGGTCATGATCTCATAGTTTGTGAGTTTGAGCCCCATGTAGCCCCACATTGGGCTCCACACTGATAGCCTGCAGCCTGCTTAGGATTCTCTTCACTTCTCTCAAGATAAATAAACTTAAAAATTTTTTTAAACGATTGTAAGATGTTTGAATCATCATTAGCTCTAAATTTTAAAGAATTTCATGTTCAAAGAGTGGTGTTAAATGGAAGGAAGGGTTCTATGGGATAGCTCGGTGACCGAACTCTGCTAACTAAAATGAACAGAGGAAGAATGCTTTTGAAAAGAATTAAAGAGGTCTGAAGTCCTTTTTCAGGCCTCTTCCCTTTAGGCAGCTAAACAAAGTAAAAGGTGTGTCTTTGTAAGTAGGTGCCTTCTGCTTTTTTATCCTCAGAAAAAATGTGGTCAGTCATATGTAAATCATACTTAATTCTTGAGGCAAAAATTAAAGCAATCTGTTCTGGAATTTTTTAATCTTCCAGGTGGAAGAGAACCCCTCACTAATTTGTTCAAGCATTATGATTATTGTTGGTATTAGTAAATGTTATTTATTCTTTATTTGCTTTTTATATACTTGAACTTAGTTTGAAATGAGTTTTTTAGGGCTAATCCAAGGTCTGGTGGAGTTCTGAAGTATATATATAGTATGTGTCTTTCACTGGTTAAACATTAGGAATTTAGAAAGACATCTCCCTACAGGTGCCCTTTTAGTAATTAAAGGTTTTGCTCTATTTAAAACTGTAAAATTTAACATACACAGATTACCAATACTTACTACAGACTAAACAATCTGACTGGTACATACACTTAACAAGATAAATTGTTACCTACCTGTGATTGGCTGGCAGGGGTAATAGTAGGTGTAGAATACATTTGAAGCATATACTCTTCATATACTCTGCGTTCAATAATGCTAAGTACTGTTTCTGAACCTATCTATTATATTCCTTCCCAGAATTGTACTTTTGTTCAAGTTACCTTCAGTGAATGCTTTTTCTAGCCTCTACTGCCTGACAGAATCCTAGCTATCCTTTAAAGCAATAGTTCTCAACTGAGGTATTGAAGACATTTTGACACCACTGCTTCTCCCCACCCAAAATTTGTTAATGACTGGTGATTGGAGAAATTTTGTATTGTGCTACAGGGAGTAGAGACTGCTAAGGACATCAAATGGGCAAAGACTGCTAAACATCCTAAAATGCACAGGACAGCCCCCAACAACAGGATTATCCAATCCAAAATGTTAGTAATGCAGAGACTGAGAAATGCTGCTGTAAAGATTTTTTTTTTTTTAATTTTTTTTTTAATGTTTTATTTATTTCTAGGAGACAGAGACAGCGTGAGCAGGGGAGGGTCAGAGAGAGAGGGAGTCACAGACTGAAACAGGCTCCAGGCTCTGAGCTGGCAGTCAGCACAGAGCCCGACGCGGGGCTCGAACCCACGAACCGCGAGATCATGACCTAAGCGAAAGTCGGACGCTTAACCGACTAAGCCACCCAGGCGCCCCTGTAAAGATATTTTTTAAGTGCTGCCTGTTCGTTTATAGCTTAGCAGATTTCTTAGTTGAACAAACTAATTGCATAGTTTGTTAATAGTATCACAATTTGTTTTTCCCTTTTATGCTGAATAACAAGTACATTAGCCTTGTATATTAGGCAAAATAAAGAAGATGTCCCTGTGCTTGAGTTTATTATCCAGTAAGGTAGACAAATACTTATATCAGACTGTCACCCATACCACTGATCCAAATAAAACTTAGAGATGAGAGCTCTGGAACTTCAAGGAGATTTTTAACTTATGAGTATTTAAATTTATTGACTTTGGTTCTTTTCTCTAAGCTTATCTACAGATTTCTTGATTGATTATTGTAAGACTTATAATTGCTAATGTTTAACTCTTAATATAAATATCTATTTCTTTTAACAAAATTATTTTAACTCCTACACATTCCCCATCTCCATTGGTCTTTAACATGTTTACTGTCATCGGTTTGGGTTATGCTTAAGTCAGAGATAATTTTAATGCCATTTCAAGTCCAGAGATTGTAGAAGTGTTTGTGATTACTATGGATTTCTCTGACTTCAGACTCCACTCAATGTATCACATTACCTTGTTTGTTCCATAACCACATTTATTAAATAGTCCCTTTTTCCAATATTTTTTACTCAGATACAGACTTTCTAAAAGCCAAATGTTACAATTATACATAATTGTACAATTATACTGCATTTAGCAGTCTTCTGAGGTACCCTTTTGAGAATAAGATATATGTACTTACTAAAAGATTTAAGTAGTATTTCTTCATTGTCACATCTCAGTAATTAAACTTGGATAATTTCATAGCTATGTAGTGCTGAGAGAATGCAAAGTAATTAAATCTTTGTATATCCCAATGTAAGAAGTAGACGTGTGAAATTTAAATGCTTTGTTTTGTTTTTTTGTAGGTTGTAAAGAAGAAAGTTCCACTCTTTCTGTCAAAATGAAATGTGATTTTAGCTATAACCATATTCATTCTGGACTTAAATTAGTAAAGCCTGATGATAGTGGAAGACAAGGTTCCTATACTCCTGCATATTTGGAAGGTTCTTATAAAGATTGCATTAAAGACTATGTAAGGTTATCAGATATTGGGTCACCAGTTGTGAGCCCCAGGATTGTAGAACTTGAATCTGAAAATGAAAACAAGCTCTTTCATAACAAGGAAAATCAACATGTGCAACAAATACTTGATAGTTCAAATGAGACAGAAGAACTAGAGACCAGTGGACCTTATGAAGACAGTGGCTATACTTCATTTTCCCAGCAAAGTGGCTTCAGTGAACATGAAGAGAGTAGCCTTCCCTTGGAAAATTTCAGTGACAGTCCACAGTCTCACCTGCTTCAGATGAAAAGCCCAGACCAATATCCCAGCAAAAACTTGCCGGCTCTTCACTTTGCAAAAATGGTTTGTTCAACATTAAAAAAGAATGCCAAGCGAAATCCTAAAATAGATTGGGAGAAACTGAAAGAATGTATATTCAGTGGAAATTTTGGACTACAGAATATAATTGGCAGGAAAATGGGCCTAGAATATGTAGATATCCTCAGTGAACTCTTTCGAAGGGGACTCAGACATCTCCTAGCAAATATTTTAACACAGCTCAATGATATGGATTTAATCAAGTAAGTATGGTTGCTTTGAGTGTTGGTATAATCCACTAAACATTTTTGTTAATGGCTCAGCACTACCAGCTCATACAAAGACATAGAGGGAAGTCTTTTTACATTGTTTAACTGAGGTAATGACTGCCTGATGGCTGGTATTTGACCACTTGTTTGCCATTAAGATGAAAGAAAAATTTTAAAGTAAGTATTTAATCCAGTTATTTCATATTTATACTATTAGGAAACTATTTTATTTTAATTGGAATTTTTGTTTCTGAAAAACATCATACCTACTTAACTAAAACAACAGCCTAGTTCTGGTGTATAGGTCTAGTCGTGGGCTTTAAGAGTTCTGTCACGCTTGAGAGTATGAAATAGTTGCTGACATTTTTAGATCATTTTTAATGTAGGGCTCTCCTAGGTTTGACAGTGATAAAAATATGGAAACCCACAAGTGGATCTGATTGTAACTGTTTTCTTAGAAACCTCGTATTACCCATTCTTCCTCATTCTACCAGAGATCAGTTAGGATGAGGTAACAAGATAATTGTAATAAGGGTTATTGGATTAGATCCCACTCAACCAGGTGCACTTTTGGCATTTTTGGAAAAATTTTTAGAGGTACTTATCACTGGTCTTTATGAAAAATAGCAAAAGCTAAACAGAAGTATTAATTTTTATTGTTGGCTACTTTCTTGAGGGATCCATTGGCATCACAGCTTCTTTTTTTGTTAACAAAAATGGGTTTTTGAAATTGATGCCTACTAATTGCAGTGTGTCCTAGAGTACTTTGAAATTTGCCTACAACTTTTACTGATATCAAATAGTTAGCATGGTGTCATATATACGATAGGAGCTACTTATATTTGATGTCTGCAGATATTGTGAAAAAATGAAGTACCAGGGAATGGTTGCAATGGTTCTTAAGGGTAGATGCACTTAGAATGACTTGATAAGGAGCTTTTAAAAACAGGACCCTGGCTGCCATTTTAAGCCAGTTAAACCCAAATGCCTAGACATGGGACATCCTTAAATCTTCAGTGCATAAGCAATTCTAAAGTATAACCAGGTTTGAGAAGCACTGCTAATAGAAATTTCTTTTTTGCACTGTTAGTGTTTCTGTAGTATGTTCATTCCTCTTACCTCTTTGTGATGCCTTAATTGTTTCCTTTATAACCTTTTACTTTTCCAGTGTGTCTAAAGTGAGCACAACTTGGAAGAAGATCCTAGAAGATGATAAGAGAGCATTGCAGTTATACAATAAAGCAATAGAGAGAGTTAATGTAAGTCTTTGCAGTTGATGTTTTCATTTTTAAAACATCTTCGAACATTACGTTAAAATATAATAGCTCGTGTTTATCTTTACAAATAGGGGGACATAGGACAGATAACAGATAATCTGGAAATCCTTTACATTCACAAGACGTTTCAGCTTTTCACTAGAACTCATTAAACAGAATTCAAAGACAAAGGGAAAGGAATTCCACCTAAGTCATTATTTCTTGGGTTCTTTCTAGAAATAGAATGCCCAAAAGTAAAAAAGGGAAAATTGGTCAGTTCTCTAATAACAAGAGTTGATTATATAGCTAATCTTCATTGCAATTTGTATTTTTTCAGTTACGTTACCAACATATTGAACATTCTTAATGCAGAAAAGAATCCATTTCCCAAATTTAGGAGATGTTTCTGAGAATATCAGTACATGATTCAAATTTCAGGCCTAACAGTTGGCAGACTTGAGTCTGAATTTTGGTGCTGCTACTGACTAGCTGTATAACTTTAGACAAGTATTACTTAAATTCTCCAAGTTCAGTTTCTTTATTGATAAGGTAGTATTAATGAAAAGTTTTCTAATCTAAAAGGTTGTTTTGAATCCACGCATAAGATCAAAGTGATACTTAAACATGACTTGTAATTTACTGGTGATTAAAGCAATGACTTTTTGTTTTGGCATTAGTACTTTATAAATCATGAATTAAATATTTAGTGCTTTCTCACAAATTCTGGTTTGCAGTTTCTGTCAGTATTTGAATAGTTGTATGTGGCTAAATTTAAGCTTGTGCAGGTAAATTGAATATAGTGATAAATCTTTTACATTCTCATTTGCCCTGTTTTACATGTACAAACAATAAAAATGCCTGATTGTTGAGAATATAGGAGGATATTTTTAAGTCCTATTAAAATATTTTTTTTTTAATTAGGAAAAGAACATTAAGTTTTCACCACATGCTTCAACCAGAGAATATGTTATGTTCAGAACTGCATTAGCTTCTGTTCAAAAATCAGCAGCCCAGGCTCACCCCAAAAAAGATGCTCAAACCAAGTTATCCCATCCAGGTGACCAGAAAGGTTCTACTTACAGTCGACACAGTGAATTCTCTGAGGTAATTTTTTGTTTGTCAATAAACTAGAAACTTATGGGGCATTTATTGTTAAAAAGGTTTAGAGTAAGAAATGGAGAGCTTTAAATTTAATTATAGCATAATTAGAACTACTAGGGAATTATTAATGGAGACGTTATCTTCTGTCCCCCTTCATTCTGCTCTCAAAAATATTAGAAACTAAGAAAAAATTTATAACTCAAGTATTATCAAATTAGGAAAGTACAGAGATACCTTTCCGCGCAAAAAATAATAAATCATTTGACATTGTTTTATGACTACTCAGTGATGTTGAGATCTAATTAGGAAATGCTACGAAAACCTTGATTTTAAAATTTCACCAAATTTATTCAATACTACATTTCACAATTGCTGCCTTTAATATCTATGGACAAGAACTAAACTGAAAAAGTCCAGCTTTCAGAAATTGAAGCCCTCCTATTGTACCTTCAAATCATTGAGTAATGTGTATTATAAGTTCTACTCAACACATGGATAATTTGGCAAGCTTAATTTATAAAACCATAATCTTACCTATGAATGCATCTTTGAAATATTGACTGCCTTCATGTTGGTCTGTAAGTATAAATTATAGTGAAGTTTAATTTTCTAAGTGTTCATTACATAATGACTAAAACAACATGTAACGATTCAAAAAGCAGTTATTGAGCATCTGCTCAATAATAGGTAATTCACGGATAAGAAAACATAGTACCCTTCATAGCCTTGTAATCTAGAATGGAAAATGGCTACATAAAAATAAAAAAATAAATGCCATATAATGTGATAGGTGCCTCTAAAAAGCTAGAAGTGAAAGCAACCAACTCCTAGTAACACTAGGAAGACTTCACAGTAAAGGGGACATTTAAGTTAGGCATTGACATGTAAGTAGCATTAGGAAATAGCCACTGGACCAGTTGACAAGTGATATTATCTCACTCATTAAACAGTGAGCTCCTTAAGGGCAGAAATTGACTTACCTCTGACATTGGTGCTTTATTCATGTATTGGGGAAGGCTGAGAGATGCCCTTCTTGTCTTTACCAACTAAATTACATTCAATTCTTATTAAAATTTGTTTATGGATTTTCTTCTTTCTAGGTTGCCAAGACTTTGAAAGAGAATGAAAGCCTCAAAGCCTGTGTTCGCTGTAATTCACCTGCGAAATATGATTGCTATTTACAGCGGGCAGTCTGCAAACGAGAAGGCTGTGGGTTTGATTATTGTACAAGGTGTCTGTGTAATTATCATACCACCAACGAATGTTCAAATGGCAAACCCCTAAAAGCCAGTTATAAAGTAGGTCCTCTGCCGGGTACTAAAACAAGCAAGAAGAATTTACGACGATTGTGATGTCTTGTTAAATCAATTTTGTACCTGATTGTGAACGTTAGTTAGAACATGTTAGGTTTTAATTTAAAAAAAAGCCAATGTATTGTGATTTCCAATTTTGTGTTGAAATCATTGTAGTTCTTTGGATTTTCTCCCCCTTGAGTAAAGAGAATATACAACCTCTTAAAATATTTTACAATTTAGTTTGAAAAAGTTTAAAATTCTCAGTACAAATCAGAAAATTATATGTTTTAAGAAAAAAGGAAAAGTAGTTATCTGATATTTGTAATTCGGTATAAAATAAAATTGATTCAATTTTTATGGTAAAGGAAGACCGTGTAATTTTACCTAGATATCTTAAATATTATCTTGTTCACCATCTATTAGCATTTGAGACATTTTATTTGCCCTACCAAATTAATACCTATTGAAATAACTTTGGAGTCTGTTAATTTAAATGTTTTGTTATCTTTCTTTAACCTCTTTTTCAGTGTGTACATGTTCTTAAAAAGTACACTTTGTGTTATCTTTTTCCTATTTGTAAGTCTGTGTGTTTTAATATTTTTGTACATATGTAAATACTTCTGTATTTTTTTATGTCAAAGTAAGAAAATAAAGATCTTTTTTGTGTGTATATATATATATATGTAAATGTAAGTTTTGTACGTGTTATGAATAAAATTGTTACAAGCTTAGTAGTGTGAACCTTTTGTTTTGGTAAACATTTTAATCTTAGAAACAGCTAAATTAGGAAACTATCCGAGACTGTATTGTAAAGTAAGAATGTTAGCTTTGACTGCATTCAGAACACTTGTTCTAATAAGATTCCAGGACAAGGATACATATTTTTTATTCCTTAATTCTAAAGTTGAATATATTTTGGTCTCAATTATGAATATGGTGAAATTCTAGGAGTTTGAACTCAGACAAAAAGTCCTGAACATTTAAGAGCGGGCCTCCAATTCTCAACAGAGCTACAAAAGACCCTCAAGGCCTTTTCCTTTCATCTCAGCAGAAGCGTAAGGTAGAGGATTTAAATAGATTATGGGTGTGTCTTAAGTAGCTTTATTGAGGAAAACAGACAAAATTCAAAGTATTATTTGGCATTTTGATATATATGCACACATGAAGCCATCACTACAATTAAGGTAATGAATGTAAATATAGCCAAATTTCTTTTTGCCCATTTTTTTTTAATGTTCATTTTTTGAGAGCTCAAGCCAGGAGAGAGGCACAGAGCCCAAGGCAGGGGTTGAACTCCTGAACCCTGAGATCATGACCTGAGCTGAAGTGAGGTGCTTAACCAACTGAGCCACCCAGGCATCCTCTCTACCTGCCCATTTGTAATTCCTCCTGTCAGTCCCCAGGTAATCTGTCAGTGTTTATTAATTTGCCTTTTCTAGCGTTTTATATAAATGGAATTTTCACCAGACATTAGAGATACCTCCATTTTGTGTGCATCAGTAGTTAATTCATTTTTCTTACTAAGCAGTGCCCTGTTGGATATAGCAGTTTGTTCATACCTTCACCTCTTAATGGACATTTGCTTCCAGCACCCCCCGCCACACACACACACACCTTGTTTTTTTTTGCTATTAGAAATGAGGATCTTGGGACACCTGAGTGGTTCAGTTAGTTAAGCATCCTACTTTGGCTCAAGTCATGATCTCACAGTTTGAGTTCCAGCCTTGCATTGAGCTCTGCACTGACAACCCAGAGCCTGGAGCCTGTAAGTGATATGTGTTCATTAAATAGTAGAGGAATGCTTGTATTATATAGGTATGTTTAACTTTTTAAGAAAAGAACAGAATTCTTTACAAAGTAGCTATAGCATTTTACATTAACCAGCAGTATATGGGAGTTCCATTTACTTCATGTTCTCAATAAAATACTTGGTATAATCAGTCTTTGTAACTTTAGCCATTGTGATAGATGAGTAGTAGTATATCATGGTTTTAATTTACATTTCCCTCTTAACTAATTATGTTTAAGACCTTTTCATGTTATTTGCTATCCATAAATTTTCTTAGGTAAACAAATGACTTGAGTTCATCTGTTTTATTATTGGTATTTGAGGGTATATATTCTGGATAGGAATGCTGTATCAGGGTGTAGCTTATCTTTCATTTACTTAGCTGTGTCTTAGTTTTTATTTTGATGAAGTCCACATTATCAATTATTTGTCTTTTATGGATCTTATTTTCCATGTCATATCTAAAATCTACCTAACCTAAGAGCATACAGATCTTTCTCCTATACTTTCTTCTATTAAGTTTATAGTTTTCCACTTTAATTTGCAAATTAAATTGCAGATGGGAGCATTAGTTTAGTTTAGACTTAGGGTGTGTAGCAATACCAGTAAACTTTTCAACTACATAACTTTTTGCAACCACAAAACCTGTAATACGCTGTACAGTAACAAGTGTTGGCATTATCAGTTGAACTGTAAATATAAAATGCTTCTTCCAATTAGTCTCTATGAATAAGTTTCTAAAATTTATCTGAACACCATTCAGAAACTTGTTTTGGGGAATTTGATGGTTATTGATGTACATCTGTTAAACTGATGACAGACATAACTCATCATTCCCCGGAAACCTTTTTTGATTACAGTATCTAACATTTTGCCTCCTCTTTTTTGGTTTTGCTGGTTATAAAGGTTTGGATTGGAGAGGGCTCACTGGATCCCAATCCTTGGAGCTGGATCATTGGATTCAAATCATAATGTGGATAGGATAGGGAGGATGAATTACAAGGATTCATGGAGCGGGATCAGATTACCAGGAACATAAGAGTGGATTCCTGCCCCAACCAAACCGCATTCGTGTGGATTTTTTTTTTTTTATTCAACTTAATTGGCTATTCCAAAGATTTTTTTTTTTCCTATTTTTGACGATTGGAGCCCTTAAGATGCACGATGGAATTGTGTTTTGCATTTTTTGGTAAAAGGAGCAAAGCGAGGACCTGGAGATAATACGCTGGAGCAATCTCCTTGGAAGGATTCAGCACGAGTAGATGGTAAACATTTAAAGGGGAGAGGGGGGTTTGTTTAAAATAGTAAATCAGTAAGTCACTTCTAAATTTAAAGAACAAAATTGGAGTTGAAGAATAAGTAGGTTTCCAATTGGCTATTGCCGTTTTTCTTTGAAAAAAAATAAACATTTTTTAAAAAACTAAAAAAAAAAAGTTTATAGTTTTCAATTTCACATTCAGGTCTATGATCCACTTAAAGTTCAATTTTGAATATAGTATAAGAGGTTTATATATGTATATATACATATATGACCAAAATAAGTATCCATTTGTTGACAAGACTATACTTTCTCTACTGAAATGCATACATATGAACTATTTCAGGACTCTCTTCTGTTTAATTGATCTTTGTCTTTTGAGTTCCAAATCCACACTGCCTTGATAACCAGCTTTAAGTTTGACCTCAGGTAGTGACGTTACTTTTTTCCTTTAAAAAAAAAAAATTAAGTTCTAAGTTGTCTCTTATAGGGTCCTTTGCATTCCTACATATATTTTATAATTAGCTTGCCAGTTTCTGCAAAAATACTTAATGGAATTTTGACTGGGATTGTAATGAATATTAGTCTTTAGGATTAGATTAGGAAAGATTTGACATCTTAGCACTGAGTTTTTCAACCCTTGAACATAGTACTATTTGCATCTTCAAAAATCTCTTAGCCATGTTTTATCTTTTAATTCTATATGTCTTGCACATAAGTGTCAGACTTATTCCTATTTTATATTTTAATACTATTATGAGTATTTGTTTTGTAAGTTTATTTACTTATTTTGAGACATAGCAGGGGAGGGCAGAGAGAGAATCCCAAGGAGGCTCTGTACTGACAGCAGGACTCGGTCTTCACAAACTGTGAGATCATGACCTGACCTGAAATAAAAAATCAGACCCTTAACTGACTAAGTCACCCAGGAGCCCTGAAAGTGATATTTTTAATTTCAGTTTTCAACTGTTTATTGTTAATAAGTTGAAATGCAATTGGTCGATTTTATTTTCTACAACCTTGATAATCTCATTTATAACTGAGAGTCCATTAGATTTTCAATGTAGATGATTTTGTCTTCTGAATATAAAGACAGTTTTATTTCTTCTGTTATAGTCTATATGTCATTTATTTCTTTTTCTTGCCATATTATACTGGCTAAAACCTCCAGTAAAATGTTGAGTAGAAATCTAAAAGGAGACATCCTTACCTTGTTCCAGATGTTAGGGGAAAAACATTCAGAATGATTTTGGTTGTAGGGTTTTTATAGATCCTCTTTAACAAGTTGAGGAAGTTCCTTTCTATTCTTAGTTTGTTGAAAGATTTTAGGAAGATTGGATGTTGGATTTTGCCAAATGTTTTTTCTCCACCTATAGGTATGCTCATTTAGTTGTTCTTTTTGAGTTTTTTAAATATGAACTTTACTGATTGATTTTCAATGTTAAAGCAACCATGCATCTTGGCAATTAACTTCACTTATTCATGATGTATTAACCTTTTTAGATATTGTTAGGATAAATTTACTACATATTAATACTTTTTGCATTATATTCATGAGGGATGTTGAGCTGTAGTTTTCTTACAATGTCTTTGGGACATATTGTCTCCTTTTCAAATTTTTGGATGTTTGTGTAGAATTCATACTATTTCTTCATTTACTATTTGCTAGAATTCTCCAAGGAAGCCATCTGAGTCTGTAGGTGGTGTTTTGTTTGTTTGTTTGTTTTATGGGAAGGTGTTTAAAATAAAATTTTTTCAATGGATATAGGACTGTTCAGTTTTTCCATTTCTTCCTGGATGAGCTCTAGTAATTTATGTATTTCAAGGAATTTTCCTATTAATCTAATTTACTGAATTTATTGGAATAAGTTGGTCAAAATATTACCTACCATATTATCCTTTACTATTTGTAAAATCTGTAGTCATGTCCATTTCTTTCATTGCTGATATTGGTTGTGTCTTATACCTTTTACTCATCAGTTTGATGAGAGGTTTATCACTTAGATTGATCTTTTCAAATAATCAGGTTTAAAAAATTGTTTTTAATTTATTTTGAGAAAAAGAGAGAACATGAGTGAGTGAACAGCAGAAAGAGAGAGAATACCATGAGGTGCAGAGATAGAAAGTGTGTGTGGAGCCTGGAGTGGGGCTCTAGCTCACCTGAAGTGGGACTCAAACTCACCTGAAGCAGGGCTCTAGCTCATCGACTGTGAGATCATGACTGACTGAGCTGAAGTGAGATGCTTACCTGAATGAGCCACTCAAGCGTCCCTCAATCAGTTTTTTATTTCATACGTTTTTCTCTCTTTTTTCATATCGTTTCTTGTTCATTTGTTTTTGTTTACTTTCTTCTGTTTACTTTTAGTTTAATTTACTACTCAAGGTGGCAGTTAAGATCATTGATATGATCTTTTCTTATACAGGTGTTTAGTGCTATAAATTTCCCTCTAAGTTTTGTTTGAGCAGCATATCACAAATTCGGATATTTTATTTTTGTTAATTTATAAATGCTTTATGATTTTCTTTTGTATTTGTTTTTTTTTAATCACAGTTTATTTAAAAGTGTGCTATGTAGTTTCTCAATAT